GGAAACCGAAGGGCAACTGGACAAGGCGAAGGGGAATGAGCCTCCAACTTCGCTTCCTTGTTATTCTCTCCTTCTTCCTTTTGCAACAATATACCAATATTCCTGTTCTGGGGAGCTTCGGCTCCCCAGAGCCTCACCTACTTTTGTATCTTACCTTTTCACTCTACTATGTATAATAAACGTGTATGTAGGACGCTGCGTGTTACATACACATACATATATACACACACACACACACACACCTACTCACGGGGTACTCACTAGTCTAAATAAAATAACAATTAGGGACGCGATAGAATGTCCCCTACTCCTGTGCGATTAAAAGTTTTCAAATTTAACTCTTCTAGTGCGGCCTTTTTTGCGGACCAGCAACTTTCCATTTATCGGGTCACTGAAGCCGAAACCTACAACTGACATGCCACGTAGCCGCACAATTAACTTCTCGAACTTCGAGGGCCAGTATGTCACAGGGTTAGCTACTGTGATTTGTTGCGAACTTGCTACGACACGAAAAGTGCATAAACGCATGATCGCACCGGCCCCCTGGTGCGTTCTACCCTGGGTTATTACATCATTAAAAGGAAGTCGCTGCACTATTCACTACTTTTTTTTTTAAATTTCGTTCAGATTTTGTTGGGAAAATTAATTTGCTCTTGATTAACTCCACTTTACCCATTCCTGTCAGCACCGGCGGGATCTAAGGCCTTCTCTTTTCCTAAAATGTGCGTTTCTACTGAGTACCTCATGGAACATTGTCGACTGAAATAAGTGGCCAACGCACCGATTGCTGGTGCGAAGATGCATTTTTTGCATAGTTCCCCGAAGATTTTTGCCGCTATCCACACTGGTTTTTTCGACAGACATTTCTAGCTAAAAGAATTGAGACTGGCCGTCAGGGCTGTCAGGAAACATCCCTTTAAAATTTCATCTTTCTAGCTTTCCTGGTTCCCGAGTTAGCAATTTACCCGTAAAAAAATTTCACGGTCCCGGACGTGGGCACCACGCATTTCCGATGAGCTTCCCAACACTTACGTGGACGGGGAGCATTTCTTTAAAATAACAGTTTTCTAGCTTTTCAAGTTCCCGAGTTAACAGCTTACCCGCAAAAAATTTTCACGAGCACGTGCATGGGTACCACTCATACTCGGTATCTAGGCATGAGCTCTTTAACGCCTACGTGGACGGGAAACATTTTCTTAAAATTACAGTCTTCTAGCTTTCCAGGTTTCCGAGTTAACAACTTATCCGTAAGAAGCTTTCA